TCCCCGCACTCTAAATGCCCCAGGGGACCTTCTCCTCAGGGGGGTTTTAGAGCAAAAAAATTGGGGCCCCCCCCCCCCCCCCCCCCCGCCCTCTGATGATGATTTTATGATTTTATTTATTTCTTTGTTTTGTTTTCACTCATGAAATCTGTATTTTGTACATAAAGAGATTTTTATTCTATTTACTGTTTTCTACAAGACAAATAAAGTTATAACGTTTCTAAAATAACCTCCACGTGGCTCCTTCTCTTATTCATCACGTCATCATGACGTCATCTGCAGACAGCAGGCTTGTTTATGATAATTCATGTGAAGATGACGGTTTGTTCAGCAGGTGGGGACAAGTTAGACAAAGATCTATTGAGGGTTCTTATTCATTTATATTACAGCAGATATATTGTGTCTTTTATTAACATATGAAAGAGATATATTAATATTACAATTAATAATATATATTTACTATGAAGATAATATTTATTGGTTGGAAATATAATACTAAACCTTAAAGTGCTGTAAGATCACTGAAGTCAATATTCAATATTATTTTATAATAATAATAATTGTTATTATTGTTATTAATCATAATATTACAGGTTAATAATAAGATGATTGAAACTCTGAAGACAGAAATAATAAAGTTACAAGAAAATCCTCGAGCAGCAATAACCTGAAAGTTTATTCTTAGTCGTAATATTATTACAGTTATAATATAATATTAGTTATTATTATTATTGTTACCATTATAATTTGTTGACTTTTTTATTGTCTTTCTTTTCTAAACATAAGATCAAAGCCGCAGCATCACGAGGCGTTTCAGTTTAATATTACAAATAAAGATGTTTTATGACCATAACATTTAATATTCAAAGATATATTTATGTGTCTTTATGAATAATGATAAGAAACTACATTTAGCAGAAAAACAAGAATGAAACAAGAATGTGTTTTATTGTTGATCATAACAATCTCCGTTATGATATTATTATTACATTATTACAGAGAAATAAAATGTGAAGTAATGTGAGTCAGAGCTTCTTCTTCTTCTTCTTCACAAACTCTGAGCGGTTTATTTTCTCGTGATTACGCCCGATGACTCTGGTTCATTGTTGAAGTGCACGAGGCCGTGCACTAATTGAGCGGATTAACTGTTGCCGGCTCGCGTGCACCTGCAGACTCAAAATGAGGTCCAGTAAGTTTGAATTAGATTTCTATTGTGAGAGAATGAAGAAAATCTGTCAACAGAGGAGGAAGAGGAGCAGGAGGAGGAAGAAGAAGAGTAGGAAAAAAATGCATGTAGTTAGTGTAGTTTGTGTGTGGGGGAGAAGTGAGAAACTGCTCAGACGATGGCGGATGTAATTGTAAACGTGGCTACGTCACGTGGGACTACACTTTGAAGATAGCTCGGACTATCAAAATGGAGGGGTAGTTTCGCACATGACAACGCCGCAAGAGACTCTAAAATGGTGCAAGACTCTAAAATGACGTGAGACTCTAAAAATGACGCGAGACTCAAATGACGCGAGACTCAAATGACACGAGACTCTAAAATGGCGAGAGACTCTAAAATGACACGAGACTCTAAAATGGCGAGACTCTAAAATGGCGAGAGACAATCGAGATTGTGTTATCTACACGTGTCTGAAGCAATTAGCTCAACCCATACATACATGTAGCTTAGCGCTATATGTGTGTGTGTGGGTGTGGGTTAGTAGAAGAAGATAGAAAGCAAACAAAACAAAAAGAATCCTCCAAAACAAAGCGTGCTAAAATACCCGACTAGCGAAGTTAGCTTCAGCTAGCCCGGCTCTGATTCCTTTTACTGATAAAGCCACAATCTCCAGCTCCACTAGCATTGACTGATCTGTCACAACACACTTGCAGCAGTATGAAATACACAGTATAATGGGACTCGGCCGTTCCACGAGCATATACACAACACGTTATAACAATACAGTAACTTAATCAAAACAAACAAGGTAATAAACACACAATGACCTAACTAAGCCCAGACACCAAGCTAAAACTCTTACTGCGAGATGACTTCATTGGTCGACGTGATCCTTCGAGGCTTTAGTTAATCTCGGATGCTTATAACCGGCAGAATGTCGCCTTTAACGGGGAGAGAACGGAATAAAAGTCTGTCAGCTGTTTAGTCCCATGTCTGTGACTGTCAGAATAAAAGTCTGTCAGCTGTTTAGTCCCATGTCTGTGACTGTCAGAATAAAAGTCTGTTAGCGCTTCTATCTGTAGGTTTAAAGTGGACTTGTGGTTTCTGCAGGTCTTCAATCAAATATAACTGAACATGTTTCACCTCAGCAGCTTTAATGTCTTCTGACCGTCTCTACCGTCTCTATGTCTCTACTGTCTCTACTCTGTCTCTATGTCTCTACCGTCTCTCTACTGTCTCTCTACGTCTCTACTGTGTCTCTACCGTGTCTCTACTGTCTCTATGTCTCTATGTCTCTACCGTCTCTACCGTCTCTACTGTCTCTACTCTGATTTCAGGTTGTTGAGTGTCAGTAAAATGTTTTACTGTTTTATCACCTCATTAAATATTGATTAGGACAAGATGGAGGAGACAGCAGGCTGTGTGTGTGTGTGTGTTGAGGCTCAGCTGTGCCCCCCCCCCAACAGGTCGTTATTGTAACCGTGTGATTAAAGTCAGACTCCTGTTAATGGACAACAGATGGAGGAGAACGAGACTAGAGAGACAACAACTGTTTTATGAAAGGTTTCTATTCATTAAAAAGCTGACACACTAAAATATAAATTAGAGGTGTTAAAGTATCTGTGAGGATAGAAGAAGAAGTGTGGAGCGATGAGCAAACATTAATACAGGAAACTAACATTTAACTAGCGCTTTTATTCTTCTTCTGTGGTGCTTTATTCAATAAGTTCTTATGATTTACTGCGTCGCTGAGATCAGAACTCTGCAGGTCTGATCTGATCCTGGATCAGAGCCCTGAGGTGACAGCAGACACACTTAGCATCAGCTCTGATCTCAGGTCAGCCCGAGCTGCCACTTTAAGATCACAGAGCCACCTTTAGCCGTTGACCTCTGACCTCTGGCTCACAGCAAGCTGCTCAACAACAGAAGCTCAGAACAGAGCCGGACCATTAAAGTACAACTACATATATATTATTATCAATAAAAATACAAAAAATAATAATAATAATAATAGTAATAATAATGATGATAATAATATAAATAATATAAATAATAAGAATAAATATTTAAGGTTGGATTTCCCCAAATTAAAAACCGGAATAAACAGATAATAAAAAGATGAAGAGTTATATATTCATGTGATATCTGACTTTATTCTGACTGATGGTGAAGAAAGAACAATAATCAATATCTGTGATACTAAACAGAAACATCTGTCATGTTTAGACCATATTTACATTTTCCTTTAATTAAATAAAGGACAGACAATGTCTGAGGTAACGAGTACTTATTGTTCATAAGCTCTGTTCCTATCTCAACACCTGTCAATCATTTACCTGTTCACCTGTCAGACCCCCCCCCTCCTTCTCCCTGATGAGACTTCTGTCAATCAAATAGATACTCAGAGGACCAATTAGACTCAAGTTAAGCTTCTATTTAATCAACAAGTCATTATCCTGCAGGAGGAGGAGGAGGAAGAGGAAGAGGAGGAAGAGGAAGAGGAAGAGAGCAACACATACTGATGATAATACTGATGGAAACACTGATACTACTACTGATAATACTGATAACAATAGATATAATACCGATAATACTGTTGAAAATACTGATATAAACACTGCTGATAATACTGATAATACTACTGATATAAATACTGAAAATACGGATATTAATACTGATAACAGAGCCAGTGCAGAGCAGCAAATACAGGAGTAATATGATCTCTTTTCTTAGTTTTTGTTACATGTGCTGCAGATTGTTTACGGTGCTGCTGGATGCAGAGCAATGCATCTAGAGAAACTATATCATCAGATCATTGAGTTCTAGTAGAATAACTTCAGTTTAGTCTGAGTTTAACATCAGGAAGCTACAGCTCGTCCAGGTGTTTATGTCCTTAAGACTGGTTGAAGTTTAGTGAGCTGGTTAGTTTTAGAGAGGAAGGGAAGGTCAGAGATCGGTCTATAGTTGGCCAACACCTCTGGATGGAGAGCGGGCTTTTTAAGAAGAGGTTTAACTTCAGCTACTCTGAAGGACTGTGGTGCATGGCCTGTTAGTGAAGACAGGTTGATCATATCTAGTAAAGACGTGCTGATTAACGGTAAAACGTCTTTAAGCTGCCTAGTCGGGATGAGGTCAGAGAGGTTTGGACGTAGAAATTGTTGAAGTCAATTGGTCAAAGTCGGTTTTGAGAAATGAGAACCAGATCGTGTTTCGGTCTGAGTTCTCTCCGGTCTCAGGTCTCTCTTGTCTCAGGTCTCTCTGGTCTCATCTCTCTCTGGTCTCAGGTCTCTCTGGTGTCAGGTCTCTCTGGTCTCAT